TGCATATCATTTTTTCTACAAAATCAATAGTATCACGGACAAGTCTCTCCATATAAACGAATAAACTTTGCTTAGACTCCATGACTAGACTGTTCATCCTCCCAATTGGATCAAGGATTCAAATAAAAAGCAATGACATACTTGTCTCGATGCAATTGGTGCTCCTACTTTTCATCAATTATCTGTCATGTCTGACTATAAGTCGAATATTGATTTCTCAATTTCTCCACATTTCTTTTGCTAAATCCATAGCATTGTAGATAAATTCATTGGCGTCTCATCAACAACTCTCAAAACTTTAACTAATATTTTTTTTGAGAGAAAACTAATATTTTTTTTTAGAGTAAATAACACTAGGTTAAAAAGTTATACCATCCATCACAATTTTATACACCTTCTTTCGCTCAATTAAATTTATAAAACTACTTGAAGTTCAATGTTTTAAAACAATACCCATGGGAGAGGATTGTTCAATAGGCCCATGCAACCTAAACTAAAAAATGTAGTTGCAAATCTCGTGGGCCCAAATAAGTAGGGTCTTTCTTGAAAACTCTCTCATAAGATGCAAAAATCGCTCATGATTGTAGCTAAAATTAGTCACATCTTAGGTTTGAGGAAAACATTTGTGTTTTGTTAACTCTCCAATATTTTTAATTGCACTGTTTGTCATGATTTGTACAACACTACTTTCTTCCAATCACTCAACCACTCTGTTAAGCAACTTAAAATTTTATGTCACATCTTTAACTCAAATTAGTGACACTCTCGCGTTGGAGACCAAGGATTGGCTGGCTCCATCATCGTGAGAAGTGAGAACTGGTTGCTAGCTTCCGCCCATGCCAACTTCTGGTCAATAGCTTCAATTGCCAACTTCTTTCTTTCTCTAGCTTCCGCCCATGCCAACATAGGGTAAGACTAAGAAGGCACCATGATATACGTGAGCGTGGAGTTCACAGTAAATCAACTTTAAAGGATAAGGGACATGAAAAAAGTGTTTGAACAACATGATAAATATTAACAATCAAGATTAGGTCTTTTTGGTGAAGTTAACAAAGTTTGAACTATTATGGAAAAGAAGTTATAACAACACTTAACAACCAAATTGAATTTAAGTACTTTAAGTTGGGACATCTAATTGAATTGTGAAACAAGAGAGTTACGTAGTGACTCTTTGTATATGAAGTAACTAAAGGTGAAATTTATTGTACTGGGAACCAACATAAATCGTTGCAGTGATATTGCTTCTTAGTTATTTTAACGTTATAATTTGCTGGGATTTAATGACTTCATTGAGGTTTTTTGAAGTTTATAAAGGATGTTATAAAATGACATACTTGTAATCACACTGTAAGAGTGAGAAGCGACTCTTAAATTCATGAGTGTGGAGTTCATGTTAAATCAATTTAAAGTACATATATAGAAAATGAATTTTTAACATGATGAGAAGCCCTTTTTAAAAACACCTAAAAAAGAAATATTCCAAACATCTCAAAGTTGTGATTTTAAAGAAATCAATCATAGATTTGAGTATGTGTTGTTGGTTTACCATTTTTTTTCTTTTGGCAAAGTTTCATTAGAAGTTGGTTAATATAATGTGCGTAGGGAAAAGTTGTTTATTCGGTAATAAGAAAAACACATATTTTCAAAGTACCAATTTAGAATATATGAACGTTAAGTACTCCCAATATGAAACTTTCAACACATTGGAATTAGTAGGTGTTAGCAACTTTGTAATAAATGAGGTAAAACTAAGTACGCTTTGTAATTGAGAAGGAATGTTATTTTTGGGGGAGCGAATAGTTTTGTTGTTGTTGTTGTTGTAAAAACACATGGATTAAGTGTCTATATTAATAAGCGAAATCAGTTTTTTAAAACTTCTAATCTCATAAAATGAATCCAGTCAAATCAATACTTTAGAATTAGTAGTTTATAATGACAAAATTCATATATCACTTTAAACGTGCATTGGTGTATGTAGTAAAATTTGAGTCTTTTGAATTAGTTGTCAAAGCAAAGGTGAGAAGTATGTTTGATTCTTTTTTTCTATGTATTGTGGGAAATAACAACATGAATTATGTAAGGACTTCCAATTCTAAAAAAAAAAAATAAGAATGTTAAAGAAAGATGAGACATGTTAGGATTGTAAGTGAATAAATAACTTCTTTTTTGAATGGGTAAGTGTGTTTGAAGCATGTCCTACTTCATTGTACATTAACAAGTGTACTATACATTTGAAACAACAGGTAATGCATTTTGTTGAGCAGGTTATGAGTAAACATGAAATGCTTGTTATGAACACTTTGGTTCGGGGAAAAGAACAAATTGATTTGGGCAATTGCAGTTACATTCATTTGTTTGCCAACTCCATTTCAAGTCCCACGTTAAACTACTTAATTTCAACTTTATCAAGTGAATTAGCGATTTGCAGAGCTGATTTCATGACAAGCCAATCTAAAGATGCAAAAGATGTATTTGAGTACCTTGGAGAATCAGAAATATAGCATGACAAAAGAGGAGAAGTTGCATGTCATAGGTGTAATATATACGTACCTCAAAAGGAAGTTTTTTTGGCGGTTGAAAAGATGCTTGAATCGATGCTTTAAAAATCATAAATAGAAACTTTTAGACTGGGAGTTTTTGAGCTATGGCGGCAAAGAAGATGTTAAGGAGTAAACGGAAAAGGACTGTGTTAACGTTAGTTGGCTTTATATTATACAAGCAAAGACAAAAAATGTAGTTTGATAATGAGATAATATGTTTTTAGGGGTATTACGATAAGGAGCCCATATGTTGACCTCCTTGGTCTATGAACAAATATTTCTAAAATACGTAATTTTTGATTTTGCGCATTGAATTGTATAACAATTAAAATGACTAATGTTGAAGTTACTTTTAAATGAATTGATAAAGTTATTGTAGATGATCATTTTATTTATTTTTCATATAACTTTTCTAAATTTTGTTAATAGAATATGTTTTAAAATTTTCCAGTCCCTATATAAAATTTTCGGTTTGGTTTGCTCGCAATTAAGTGAATAATTTTTTTCTTTGATGTCTTGAAATGTCTCTTTTATTGAGGGATAATTTTTACTATAAAATATATTATTTTGACACTCTTTAACACTATTTTTCACTGTATAATTATTATTATCTAATTATTATCTAAATATGCTAAAGTAAATGGATATAAATATATTCACACTCAAGTGGCCAAACACCTTGTAATTCGATACATCACCATGACACTCTAAGAGGAGATCACATGCTTGAAACACATCCAGAATGTTGACATTTAACATAACACTATGAGAAAACATAAATTACCTAAAAAAATAATCACTCAAGTGGGGTCAAATGCATAAATGTCACATTAACTATTGGTAATGTTGCATTTTGACACCTTAAGTATACATAAATGTTTCGAATTGAGATTTTATTCAAACTTCCGACCAAAAAAATCCCCCATGACGATAAGTGATCATATGAACAAAATTAAGGTGAAATAGACTTTACGCATAGAATTCTGGTCATCACGTGTGATTCTTTGGTTAAAGATTTGAATAAATTTTAATTAACATTTATGTATAATTATAATAAATTTAATGAAGATACCAAAATTGCAAACATTAGGCACAAGTGACTAAGAAGCTGTTCTCTTCACCTGATCTGAATGTTTCTAATATGAATTTTTTAAGTTCTGATCTGATCTGAATTTTTCTGATCTGAATTTTTCTGATCTGGTCTGATCTGAATGTTTCTGATCTGATTTGAATCTTTCTGATCTGAATATTTTTATAATTATAATTATAATTATTATAAATATAATTTTAATTACAAATATAATTTAAAAAAAATTATAATCATAATCATAAATATAAAAAATATAATAATAATTAAACTTAAATTCAAAATTATAATAATTATACCTATTACACTAATTATAACTATAGATATAATTATAATTGTAATTATATTTTTAATTATAAAATCATAATTACTTATATAATTACTTATATAATTATAATTGTTAAGTATAATTATTATATTTACTTCTATAATTATAATTATAATTATAATTATAATTAGAATTATAGTTACTCCGAATGATAATAATAATCAACAACAACAATAATAATAGTAATATTAATAATTATAATTATAATTATAATTATATAATAATAATATAATAATAATAATAAATAATGACACTAATAATATTATTATATTATTATTATACTATTATCATTATATTTTTATTATATTATTATATTATTATTATTATTATTAATATATTATTATTATTATTAATTATAATAAAATAATTATAATAATTATTATAATTAATATAATAATAAAAGTGATAAATCATGTTTGAACTTTTCTGACCTGATCTGATGAGAATGTTTCTGATCTGATCTAATCTGAATAAAATAAGAATAAGCGTAATAAGGGGGTGTTTGGATCTGATTCTCAAAACTTATTCTGCTGCTTCAGGGAGTAGAAGCAGAAGCTGGAGTGTTTGGGTGAAATTCCAGAAGCACTTCAGGGGCTCTAATTTACTCTCAGAATCAGTTTTTTTAGAAGCTGGTAGGTACCAGCTTCTGAAAACTGATTCTGATTCTGCTTCTACATTAAAAAAGAAGCAGAAGCAGAATCCGTTCCAAACACCTCTAAGGGAGTGTTTGCATTTGATTAAAAAAAGTGCTTTTCAGCTTTTTGCTTAAAAAAAGTTAAAAAGAGTGTTTTCAAATGACAGCTTCTGCTTAAATTAATCACTAAAAAGATAAAAGCTGGAAGCAGGTGGAAGGGTGCTTTAAACTGCTTTTCACTTTTTCTATTACACAAAAAGTACCTCTTTTACCAAACACTATCAACTTTTACTTTTTCAGAATCACTTTTTCTTCAAACACTGCCAACTTTTACTCCGTACTATTAATCACTTTTCCCAAAATCTCTTAAAAAAATCATTCTTTAAATACGAAGTAAGTGAGATTAACGCCACTCCTCCCGTCTATATTTTTGTTTATTTTGTTTAGGAATTATTACTGGTCGTGGTCTCGTGGACATGGAGGACGGCCAGCTCTCATCATTCATGAAATCCGGCATCTATCGGTTTCAAGGTGCTAATGCCATCTTCCTCGATCCGGTTCGGGTCCTAAACAGGTCCTATACGAGGTATAAGGTTTCCCCGTATGCTTACTACACTCGTTTCTTCGACTCTACTGAGAAGCTCGAGACATCCTTAGAACCGAGAAAGCGGAAGCGCAAAGAAAAGAAGCCTCTCTCTCTCAATGAACGGGAAAAAGTCGCCGATCAACGGCATCAGGTAATGATAGTTTTAGGGTGTCATATACCGTAGTGTCATAGACATCTATGTACTGTGTAGTTTTGTAATTTCGCGTCATTGTTGAAGGAGGTGAGACCGTTTTTGCTGAAAGCACACGAAGCTCTGCTTGGATCTACTGAGCTATTGAAAGTGGTGAAGAATTTCAGGCGCAACGAATCCTCTGTCAAGGAACTAAAAGAATTGCCTCACCAGAGCTGTGAGCATTCTTTTCCGGATATTGGAAGTGTTTGGCAAGCGCCGCTTTATGAAATTGTTCTCAATTATGAGAAAGGAGATTCATTTATTGAAATTGAAGGTATGTTTGATCCCAATCTTAGTTTCTTGCGGAGGGATTAACTTATTTTGAGAATATGGTGGACGTAGCACATCCAGTTAGTCTTATTAACTGAAACTCAGTAGGGAATTATGCACAGGCATGCAGTAGCAAATATTTGAATTTTAGACAGAAAAAGATCATTTCTATGAGCTCTGTTCTTGAATAAGACTAGCATTTGGAAGAACGGAAAGGTTAGACTTATTATTGGATGGATATCATATTTGAGCTAGTTTGGTTACTTTGGTAACGGTTCTTTGGTTGAAATGGTGAAGAGACTTAACCTGCTAATATTTTTCAAATAAAAAAGCATTTGGTAAAACCATTTCAACCAAACAAGTCAAATTCTATTTATTCTGTAAATTCTACCATAAGCAGAAAAAGCCTGTTAATGCTGTCTAACAGGGCTTATATTGGCAGTTTTACATGTTACAAGTACTTGATCTCCATTCTGCTTCTCTATTGAACTGTGGAAGATCCTACTACCATAGGATTGCAGTCCAAAAGGGACAATGCTTTCTGAAAATAATAACTTTGCTGTTTGGTTTTAACAGGATCTCGTCATGGTCAACATTTCAAGCAAGACGTGGTCCCAGTCTTTGATAATCTCATTGTGAATAAAGGAAGTGGGGATGTAGAGGCTGAGTTTTTGAACCACAAATATATTATCCCCAAAGACAGTTGTTTCTATATGGTAAAATGGTCATCTATTATTGAAGTTATTTTAAAAGTTTCTGGCAAAGATTTTTAACTAAAACAACTTGACTTCCTGAAGTTTCTAGTATGTATCCTTCCACCCCCACAAAATTCCTTATTGAATGAGCTTTTGGATTGTAACCATGTCTTTTTTTAGTTTTACTGGATTTGGATTACTTGAATCTTGATTTTAATACTTTAACTCTTTTTCCCTTTTCCTGTTGGTAGTCTGATGTGCGGAAAATTCACAACTTAATCCCCGGTAATTGCTGATACTGCATCTTTATTTCATGTTTTCCGAGGTATACTAATATATGTAGGAATCAATAGCTTGTATTTGCTTAATTTTGTCTGCTCTGAGATGCAATGCCACTGTATTATGCCGAATTTGTCTAATTGAATTGGAGATTTTATCTTTATGTCAGTCTGAAGCTTTTAACACTTTACTGTTTGTCACACTGGTTAAACATTAAATTATTTCTCCTTGCAGCTGATTCTGACGGTGGCTTCAATATTATAGTCATTGACCCACCATGGGAAAACAGCAGTGCCCATCAGAAACGAAGGTATGATTCCCCCTTCTTTGACTATCATTGCCACATTTGAAGTATACTTCAATTAGGTGACTTTGTTGAAATTTTTGTGTAGAACTATATGGAGAGTTTTTTGTTATTATACTACATTCCTTCATGCCTGATAGATGACATTCAGAAGTAATTACTTGTTTATATTTTCCGAAATGACATTTATGAACGTAATTGGCCCCCGTTAAAACATGTGAGTTATGTTTGGTAAAGGCACATACATTTTTAATTTATCTAGGTACAAATATTTGAGGTCACAAGCATATGTGGTTTTGAAATTAATATTACTAAAGTGAACAAATATTAGAAGCCGTAAATACATGACTACTTTTTCAATATTCCAAAATAGTAACTAAATGTGCCACCTATAGTATGTCCCTGCCAGTCACACCGTCCTACACGTCAGTCACCGGCAGCAGCAGTTCCTGGTGACTTTTCCCGTCATTTGCTTTGTAGAAAATTTGCAGTGGCAGTGCTGGCGATAGCCAGCGGCGGGTTCAACTGGCCGGATGTGGTGGCTGCAGTCGATGGTCAGCGATGGCAGATGGGAAGATGGTGGTGGTTGAGAGGAATATAAAAAGAGATGGGGATAGATTTGTGGTTGTGGTTATTTAGTCACTTTGTATGAAATATTTAATAGTTTTATTTTTTTCCACTGAACCTTAGGATTAATGTGTTGTCTATTCTTTCTTAGTATTGTTGTGGTTTTAAAAGGTGCATGCTACGACACCTCATCAAAAAGTGAGGATACCGTACCTATAACACATTTCATTGGTCAACATCATTATTTCATCATTTATTTATATTTTAATCGTTTAAGGTATTTTGATTAGTCCATTTAAATAATGTACAATATCCTTTACCTTAAGGGTACCATAGATTTTTTTTGTTTTTTAATTATATCTTGGCAGAAAATCTTATGGAAAATTAAATGAAAAATAGCTTTGTTTATTAAAATATGACTTTCTTTTAACAAAAAACTTTTCAAATAGGATTCTTTTTATGTGGAGTACAAAATACATGTGCTCTCATCTATGTAGCAACCCATTGACTCCCCTTCATTGGCAAGCAATTGGATATTGTCTACTATTATGACTCATCAATGCCAAACTTCATTTGTTGGGCTGCTACTATAACATACTCCGTGTTAATATCAAATTATATGGCTCATATGTGGTACACATGGGTATCACTATTGCTGAGCTAGTGAGCTCACTTTTAGTTTGATTTCCTACAAAATTCCAGGTATCAAACATTGCCTAACCGGACCTTCTTATCTCTTCCCATCAATAAACTTACTCATACTGCTGGAGCCTTGGTTGCCTTATGGGTAACCAACAGGGAAAAACTGCGGAGTTTCGTTGAGAATGAATTATTTCCATCATGGGGTGTAACATATCTGGCCAGCTTATATTGGTTGAAGGTCATCTTCAACCTTAATTATATGGTGATGAACCGTGTATGTACATTCTTTCATTACTAATTTGATAGTGTTCTATGTTATAGGTAAAGCTGAATGGGTTATTGATAAGTAAATTGGATCTCTTTCATCACAGGCCATATGAATGCCTTCTCGTGGGTTACTCTGGTGGGAAGGTCTGCTTCTTCCATGTGCTGGATTTTACATTTGGTATGTCTCTTTTATGTTGTCATATGGATATTCATCTCATTCTTAAACAACGTCTTTGCAGGATAATACCTCTGATTTGTTAAAATTGAGTGATATACCTGATAATCAAGTCCTCATGAGTGTACCTGGAGAATATTCAAGGAAGCCCCCAGTTGGAGGTAACTAAAACTCTAAAAGTTACCAATCATATACAGATGCTAATGTACACATAGGAGTATTGTAGGTGTGAATTAGATAATTAAAATTTTGTCAGGTTGAGAGGTAGGGGATGAGACAGGGAGGAGAGGGAGAGGACGACCCAAACAGACGTGAATAAGAGTGGTCAGAAATGATATGATATTTTTTGGGTTAGATGAGAGTATGACTTTGGAGAGTGCGAAGTGGACCGAGTATATGTATAGAGGATTGATCTCTTTTATCCTTTTTACTCAGATTTCATATGTTGATTCATGTTAGTCTACCCTAAACGGCTAAACTCTTTTGAGACCAAGGTTTGGAGGTTGCCGTCAGGATTGATATCCTAATTTTGAAAATAAATGGTTCAACTGTTTTGGTCATATCAACTGTGTGTAATCAATTATTGTTATGAAAGTAAAATCTTAGAAAAACCAGAGAAGGTCAGTGACACAATGACAGCAAAAATGAATTTCTTCAAACTTATTTGAGGCTACATGATTTGAGGAGTATAACACTTGCACACATCCAGGTATATATATTGCATTATTGCCAAAACATTATTTAGAAATATAATTTTTTCCAGAGCTTTTGAAAGAGATTTAAAGGTGAATCTTGAAAAGTATTTTGATGATATGAAGTAGACTGATTTTGAATCTCACATATGGTATTTCTTTGATCTATATTTTATTAAAACGCATGTTGATGTATATACCCCACACAAAAACCAATAAGCATAAAGTACAGTAAATTGAATTTCTTTTTTTTTACATTTAAACAATTTCATTAGTTATAGTATTCATCAACATCAAAACTATGTTTATTGAGCATATTGGTGCTAAAAGCTATTGTCTTCATAAAACAAAATGTCTGAATGAGAATATAATGCTTGATGTGTAGCAAAAAGCAGAAGTTAACTGTAATGGAGTACGTCTTGAAAGATATTTCCCATATGAGAAGTCTTTGGTTCAAGTCTCCGAAGAGATAAATTTTGGAAGATTTTCTCAAATGATAATCCTATAGTCTCAGGGCTAGTTTGGGTGGTTGTGCAATCATTGCTTTGCCTCGCCATGATGATAGGACTTGAACAGTAATAATACTATTAATAATAATATTACAGAGCAGTATAGTATAAAGGTGCAATAGAAGAAGTAAGGGGAATGTAAATAAAGTGATGAGGTGGCAACCTCAGGCTAGGCATACGTAGTATAAATATGAGCTGAGTGAAGAATGAAAGAGAGGCAGAAATTTAGTTGGGATTGGGATCTGGGAGAGAGAGGCACTCTCGAAATTGCTTCACCAGTTATAATCTCGGAACGTTTTCTTTCCTTTTCAGTTTAATCAATTTCCTTCTAAATATACATAAATTTTCCTATTACGAATCTGGTTGCTGTCATTGGTATAAGAGCATCTCGGTCTAAAGGCACATTGGATGATCTTCACCAGAACAATTATGGAACATCGCTCGGAGATTGTGGAGCGGATGGTTGCTAAGACACGAACAATGATAGATGAGCTGTGTAACCTGCTGATCGACCAGAATTGCCAGCGTTCCAGGGGACGATTCAGGACCTCTAGGAAGCAACTTCCCTTTGAGAGTCAAAGTACGATCCGATCGAGAGGAGAATCCCACTGTTCGCTGGAGACATCCAACCAACGTGAGATGTCCTTAAACCAAGGACATAACTGAGCCGGGAGGGAGATAGATCTGCCTCTCTTCAAGGGCGAGGACGCCTATGGGTGGATCGTCAGGCTTGAGCGATTTTTCAGACTCAATCACGTAACTGAAGAGGAGAAGCTGGAGATGGTGTTGATCGCCATGGAAAACAAGGCTATAAACTGGTTTCAATGGTGGGAAGGGAAAACCATTGATCGCAGTTGGGAACATTTTAAGGCGGCCTTGATCCGTCGTTTTCAGCCAGAGCTAGTGCGTAACCCTTTTGGTCCCATGCTGAGTATCCAACAGAATGGAAGTGCCATGGAATTGGGAGCAGTTTGAATTGGTGGTAGAACTAATGAGAAACAGAGTCGGTGAGGGGAGCAGTTTGAATTGGTGGTAGAACTAATATTAATATTAATATTAATATTAATATTAATATTTTTTTTTTTGAAAGGAAACTGATTATATTATATTAGTCAAAGAACACAACGTACTTCCCCCCTTACAATGTCCAACCTTCTCACCCAAACCTCTATAAGTACTACCTCCCCTATCTCGCCAAACCTCCTTTTGAGGCTTCGCATAGCCCAAAGGCCCCCCCACTCTCTGGCTAGACTTAGAATAGACCACCCCAGGAGGAGCGAGACTATTCGCGAACCATGTGAGAGTTTCGAAGCTTTTAACGGCAAAATAAGCCTTATCGCTTCCACCAACAATAGCATCCCAAAGCAAAAAAGAGAAAGTAAACCTCAACCTACCGCTAGAGTTCCAAACACAAACATAAGCAACAAGAGTACCATAAAAGGAAAAACAGCAGAAATAAATAAAGTTCATGTGGCCCTCGGCCTTATTAAATTCCATAATCTTCAGACCAGAATCCCTCACTGCTGTGCCTGGCGAGCTACCAATTTGTAGCTCGCCTCCTCTCCGTTTTTTCCTTCGTTCTGAGCAATCTCCATATCTTCCCCTTTATGGTGTTCTGCGGAATCCTCCACGCGTCTTTGTTTCTGCTCAATGTGTCCCTTCTCGTGTGATGAGGGCCCACCCTCCCCAGTACTTGGTCGCATGCTGTCCTCTTCGTTTCCACTGGTAGCCTTGTTGACAGATCTGATTCCTTTCCCTGCTGGAACAAGCCATTTGTTTTCTTTCCACGGTTTTGCCCCTTTTGTGGCTCTAAGCCAAGGTCCAAAAGGTCTTTCCCCAGGGACTTCGTAACCTCGTTGCTTGCGTGGGCAATGACTTTCTGCATGCCCTATTATTCCACACAGAAAACAGAAGCTAGGTAGCTTCTCATAGCAAAACCTGACACGGAAAGTGATTCCTTCCTCCTTTTGCAAAACCAATTTCCTTTTCAGAGGTTTCCCCAGATCAATACAAACACGAATCCTCATAAAGGATTCCAACTTCTCAGAAAAGTTATTATCATCAGCTTTTATAAAAGTTCCTAAAAAATTCCCAATGCGTTCCGCATTCTCAATAGAGAAATATCCCACCGGGATATCATGAACTTGTACCCAAAAAACTGCTTTATTAAGTGGGACAGACATGGGGATATCTCCCTCCTCAAGTCTACTCATAACAATTAAGTTCTGATCAAACAGCCACGGGCCTTCCTCCTCAATCCTAATGACATCCTCCTCATTATAAAATTGAAAGACATATCTCCTATTACCAATTTCATTGATGGAAACACCATTTGTCGGTTTCCATACCGATGCCATAATATCTCGAAATTGGGAAAAACGTACCGACTTTTCCGATGTAATGGTCCCCACCATGGTCAAATTGTGTTTCGTTGAGGGCAGAGCCACTGGTGTCACCACGAGAACCTCCTCTTCTTCCTCCAGATCCAACTGTCCATATGCGTTGGCCAGTGCGTCCACTCCGTTGATATCTTTCTGCTCCATGTCGTTCGCCCAGGTCACAACTCCCAGATCGCAAGCCTCCGTCCAAGCCGCGTTCGCAGTGCGAAGAAGAAAGCTGCGGCCGATCTAAAATCGCCGCTCCAAAAACCTAGGCCAAGAGGCCTCCCACCGCCAAGTGTGCAATTTGATTAGAAACATTAATATTAATATTAATATTAATATTAATATTAATATTAATATTAATATTAAAGAATAGTATAAATGTACAATAGAAGAAGTAAGGGGAATGTAAATAAAGTGATGAGGTCAGGGGCGTAGCCAGGACGCTGGGCCAGACTAGGCCGGTACAAAGAATATTTTTGAAAACAAAATTACACGGAATTTTTTGCACTAAAAATTTAGACAATTTTAAAATTTGGGCTGGGTCAGGGCCAAGGCTGGCCCTGCCCTAGCTACGCCCCTGGATGAGGTGGCAACCTCAGGCTAGGCATACGTAGTATAAATATGAGCTGAGTGAAGAATGAAAGAGAGGCATAAATTTAGTTGGGATTGGGATTTGGGAGAGAGAGGCACTCTCGAAATTGCCTCACTTGTACTCTTTTCTTTTCAGTTTAATCATTTTCCTTTTCAATATACATAAATTTCCTATTATGAATCTGGTTCCTATCACTTAAGCGACAAATCCCGACAATGTGAGAGCTTCTTGTGGGGAATCAGTAGGTTTTTAACCAATTGGTGTTGGTTCTTATGTTTGTTACCCTTTTATTTTATATATATATATTCCTTTTATCATTTTTATCTTATCACTTTTATGCATGTCTTATCTCTATTTTATATTAGCTTTTGTATAATTTTTATCATACTTTATCTTTTTTCCCCCTTTTGGCTCCGATATCATGTATCAATTCTCATGTTAGCTGACCCCAAATTCTTTCGTGGCTAAGGCTTGAATCTTGTTGTTGTTGGTTCTTTCGGGAGCTGCACTAATAACGAGAGGACACAAGAAGTCAATAATTTAAGAGCAATTTCTTGTGCACGGGGGGGGGGGGGGGGGTGTATAGATGGACGTTGAAAACCCAACGAATAGTTCGAACAACTCGGATTTATTTCTTTCAAGGGTTTGAGATATGTTCTTGGAAGCCCAAGATATGTTAGGCAAAGTTGGGATCACCGGGTGTTAATAAAAAAATACACATCTAAAATATATATAATGTAGAAAGAGGTGAAGGTGGTTGAGATGACATGTATGACATATTAAAATGTGTCGGAAAAGTGATTCAATTTATATGGCAGGATAATCTGCTATAAATGTTCATGTGTTATCATTTAATTAGTTTTTCATTTTCTGAATTCACGTTGTCTTTTTGCGTTAGAGCTGCTGCGGGAGTATGTGCCAGGACCACGTCATGCCCGTTGCATTGAACTGTTCTCTAGAGAACTATTAGCTGGGTGGACATCTTGGGGTAATGAACCTCTTCTTTTTCAAGCTTCCAAATATTTTTGTCAAGAAGCAGATAAATGAACGGATCCAGATTTATGCCTACTCGGGACAGGGCCTGTTTAAATGTTTTAAAGGTATTTCTGAGTATGAACCAGGAGTAAAGCTGTTGTTTTCCATTCCTTTTTTAATATATGAACTTCCAAAAATTTACAATTTTCATTCAATTATTTCAATTGACAGCTCAATTCGTACTATTTTGTACCCTCAGCTGTCACTTATGAATTATGATCTGTAGTGGCGGCTTTGAATGGCTAGCAGTCTCCAGAAATCACATGGTAATTAGCATATGTTTGAAGAGCAGAGCACCCTTGGTAAATTTGTATCCACACAAGCAGGAACACTACATGAAATTGGTTTTGATCTCCTCAGGTATTGATATTTGAAATTCTTCTTTTAACGATTTTGTGTACTATGTCACGCTGTAAAGGAAAATACGCCACTGTTTGTGTCCCACTATCAGTGACCTTTTTCTCTTCACAATTTACGAAATGACATGGCATACAAACCTGAAAAATGATTAATTAGAAATCCGAATTGGATAAGCATTTTTCAATGTTATGTATAGCGGTATAGCCAATATGCAGATTTACTTTATATTTAGGACTAATAAAGGATGTGGTCCGGTGAAGTTTCAAAATTCAGAATGATGAGACGAGCAAAGGGTATATTTTTTAGGTTGGCTTTTTGTTCAACAACTACAAATTTGCTTTAATAATGTATAGCTAGCAGTGGGTGTGGGTGACTTTCTAGCCTTTCATCTGCGTGTTCAACTTGTCTTTTTGACAATTGCTTTTGCTCAAGTATGCCAAACACCTTTGCCGAATGTTAAGGATAGGAGTGTGCACAGTCCGATATGTCTAGTTAATCGAAAAGTTTCCAAGAACCACTGGTTCCATTAAACGAGTAAATTCAGGCCGAGTATATCAAGTCTCCTAATAGAAATCCTACCTTGTTTCATTTGAAACGAGGCGATTGTGTCTAGATTCTCAGTCCTGTTTAAAAAAATAAATTACACTAGCAAATTAGCTAATAAGTACGGAGTAATAACATTCTCAAACTAAATAAGTTCAACGTCACCATAATATAGTAAAAATTCAAAATAAAACTTTAAAAAATATGAATTCATTAACAAAAATGTCACACAGTAAATCTATATAGAAACTAAATAGCACCCAATCATACAATTTAAATAGCATCAAGTTTTGAAATGTAGAAAAACATCATCCGTGTTTTTAAAGATTAGCACCATTCAGTCCTAAAAAAATAAACTTGTCACTTTACATACATGTCAAATAGAGAACAATTTAAATCTTAATAAATCTTTAAATGTAAGTGAAATCAGGAATAATAATTAAATGATTAAGAGTTAAGACGCTTCATCGAATAAGAATCTGTCTATAAATAAAATATAGAAATTTAACAAACTTGAAGGTTTAGGAGATTAATATAGACTCACAACTATGCACTTTGGCTCACAAGTTTCTTCTTTGTATGACACAGGAACATTTAGATCCTCCACGTTCTATTTGTACAATAAATAAAATAGAGTTAGTTAATATAATACAAAGTATGATAAAAACTGGTTTGTCTGGTCATTTTTTTTCAAATTATAAAACCCTTACAAGTCCTATTTATTTAAGACCCCCATCACGCCCTGCCTCGTTTGTTTTTTCTAAAATTAGGACTCTATCCTTATCTGCCACAAACCTATATACCCAGTCCAACCCATGATTCCTTTGACCTTTTGCCCACCCATAGTAGAGGATTTCATTCCCTACTCTCATGCCTCATTCGAAGAATCCTACAATTTTCTTGTTCCCAACTTCACCCATCAGCATAAGCACTAATTCTCAGACAATTTTTTTTTTTTGGTATGATACAGGGGTTAGCGTGGAAGGATGGTAGATCTTGATCAAGGTTTTCTTTGATTGCAAGGACCTAAGTTGGAAAACAACTGTACTCATGTTTCATCATCTCCGGCTTTTTTCTACAATATTCAATATCTTTGTAATTATATTCTAAAATTCAGTGAAAACTGAAAACTTTATTGGCGCTAGTAGAGAATTAAATGGGAAAATATCAGCAGAACTTAGAGTTTCACCGGCACATAACATCACACATAGGGGTGAACCCGGTTCGACACTAAGCTGGTTTTGGTCCCGGACTGGCCAGCTGGATAGGGGAACCGAAACAGGGGCAGAACCTTTATTCCAGGTTTTTGGCTGGTCTAGTTTTTTTTATATAACTATTTTCAAAACCCCTAGCCCTTTCGAACTTTTAAACGAGTTTATATCTCCTTTAATGCTTCCAATTGTTGAAATGTAAAAGAGGACCTAACCATAACTGAATCGGTCGATCTTGATTTAAAAATAGACACCGAGGGATTGGTCACTGTGAACTGTCACGTCAGGGCCAGTCTCTTAACTGAACCGCGTCTCGCGGTTCCAGTCTGACCCTTAGAATTGGCCGATATCGGTTTAGACTGGTCTTAGGTCTCGGTATGGGTCAACCCTTAGTCACTCAGATGGAACATTGGAAATATGGAAATTGCACATTGAGCATTTTCCCCTAAAAAATTGCACTTGATCATTAAAGAAATGTCTATTTATTGACAGTGACATAACATAGTAACATAGAGGGTCCGTCATTACCGGGGGTGTAGCTCAACTGGTAGCGAGGGAGTGCCACAAGGGTTAGGTCTCGGGTTCAAATTCCAGCAACTGCGATGAGGGATTACTATGCTGAAAAGTGCATAGAGCCTCTGCAAGCACCGATGACAGAGCCTCATTCTCTATATGTCAGATTGTGATTATAGTCCAATTTACATTCTCCCATCGTGCCGTCCGGTTGGTGTTTGGGGGGCCCTCAGGGATGTGGTGTCATCCTTTTTTTTTTTATAGAGGGTGCGTCATTGTACAAAAAAAGTGTTTTGGTACCTTCACTGCTAAACAATTCAGATAATATATGATTCTGCATTAAATCGACACCCTAATTATAGTATTTCCTTGTCAAAGCAGCACTCTAGTTTCAATATATGCCATACATTCTCTCAACCTACAGTTGCAAAGTTTGTAGACCCGATTTCAACGGTTGCCACAGAAAAACTTGAAAAAGTAGTAACAGTAGAGAAAGGAAAAAGAAATACTGCCTCACTGAAGGAATAACTTGTGGTAAGAAACACACTTGAAATCCCTATTTCTTTAATGATGCCCTATTTTTATGTTCATATTTTGATTGAGTTGGATGAGGCTTAGGCTAGGATGAATGGGGGGAGCAATAAAATTGAGTTTATACCATAGTCCATAAGAGACATGTTCCCTCGTAAAAAAAACACATGTTCCTGTTTCAATAATTATCATACGGAGTATTTGTATTAGGCTTTTTTCATAGATATAATTAGATATACAACTCAACTTGAGTTTACTAACAAAATTCTTGTAATATATTTGACATTTTAGATTCAATCTCTTTCAACCAAAGTTTAGACATGCACCACATTAAAGTCACACAAATGATGTTTGTGAAACGCAAGCCGTTAAGTTAGAATTTTATGTTAAACAAGCTTTTCATAAACCTTTGATATTCTCCGTAGTTTTCTTAGATTCTTCGATGGTGGGTTAGTTTGCCTCAAAAGAATAAAATTAATAAAAGATAAGCAGTTTGGTTAGATGCACGTCCCTAGCCAGTAGCCCAGTAGATTTAGTTTTCCCAAAAACCTTCTAGACCACTGCCTCATGAGTCACCAGTGGACGAGTGATGATTGAGCATCTCCCTTCTTAACAAGACACGCCGTGCATGAGGGATCGACAAGTGAATAAAGGCATTAGTGCACTCGGCACGTTGTCTTTGGGCAACTTATTGTATTCAAAACTGAAAACTACCTCATGATATTGAAAACAGAAAATAGAAAAATTGATATTGGCTATGCCATACACATACTTTCTCAATTTATGGCATCAACCCCGTATGGCCCATTGGGAGGTTGTTATTCATGTGCTTCGCTACCTCAAAGGCAGTCCCGGTCAACGAGTCCTCCTATGCTGTGCCCCATCTTTCGCTTTGACTGGTTATTGCGACTCCGGTTGGGCTAGTTTCCGTCTCACACGTCGTTCTATTACTGAAGTATTTTTTATGCTCGGGGACTCATATTTCCTAGTGTACTAAAAAACAAGCTACGGTTTCCTGTTGTTCTGCTGAAGTTGAATATTCACTCCTCACCTATTTGTTTGTTTTGTGACAACAAGGCAACACTTTATATTGCTTCTAATTCGGTCTTTTTTCACGAACGAACAAAGCATATTGAGATTGACTGCCATTTCATTCGCAATCATATCTAGGCAAACACGATTATCACCTCACATTGTCCTTCGTCTTAGCAGCTTGCGGACCTCTTCACTAAAGCTCTTAGGGAAACACCGTTTCAGTATTTACTAACCAAGATTGGTATTGAAAACCCTTATACTCCATTTTTTTTTGGGAGGGTGGGTGTTGTTGCCCATGCTATACATATCCATTCCGAACACAGAGTACATGCGTCTGCCGAGCAAGCCACCTGACCCAACAATAACCTCAATGTATTTATCACAATTGACATACATATTATTTGTATTTTAATAGTCTTGATCACATCATAGTTTGTTGTATCCTACACTAGTTACGCGCCATTGCTTCAATTAATAAACCGTTAATGGAAATTGGTAGAAGGAAAAATATCATAAAAACTAAGAAGAACAGAAATATGATCTGAGGATTATAGTGATACACTTGGTATGTAATAAGAAGAAAATAGTAATATGGTGTCCTTGGCAATTAATCAGTAATTGGGTAAGTAATTGGAGTATAAGGCCTGGAACTATATATAATAAAGTGCAGACTGCTGGACAGGGCTAGCTTATCTTGGGAGATTAGCTAGGATTGTTCTTGTCAGCTGCATACGCATAGTAAAGCATGCTGATGGCCACATGGAAGAACACCCCAATACCTCCAATGATGGGAGCAGCAGGTGCAGTGCATACCTTTTTACTATGCGGTTCCTGAAAACTTGGAGCGTAAGCCGTTGTGGAGTCACTATTAGGTATAGAGGGGCACATCTTTGGTGTAGATCTCCCTTTTCTTGGTATTCCCATCCCTAGAAGAACACATACTATAACACCAAAGAAACTGACCGATTCGATCGGTAATGTGTATGTTATGTACAGATAAATCACAATATAGCTATAGGCGCAAGATGATAAAATGACTCGTATTAGCTAGATAGATAAAATGTCTCATGAAGCATGTTTAAATAACATCCATTGAATGTATCTTTTAATTTAGTATCTACGTCATATGTACGGAGTATCTCATTTTGGTATCTAGTTTTATGTATCAATTTTTCGTATATGAGTAAATTGTTGTGATTCAATAAATCTTTTATTGCACTACGTAGTTTCTAAATTTTAACTCCGACTGTAATTAGTATTTAGCTTTTTTCCTTTTTATTCCCATCAAACCTCGAATTTCGCAATGGAACCATAATTTTGGGATGGAGGGTAGGGGTGGGATCAGTCCGGTCTGGGTCGGGTTTTTGCTAAACCCGGAAATTACCCGGAAGGTCTCGGGTTATGAAAATTAGGGACCGAAATAAAGCCCATTATATTCGGTCCGAGTCGGGTTTTTGGTAGCCCGGGTTCGGGTTGGACCGGTTAAAGCCCGGACGTGAAATATGTCATTGTTCTTTTATATTTTAACACTTATTTTCAAATAAAATTAATCAAAAATACAAACCGCAAATAATAACACAAATATTAGTCTCCAAAATCACCAACAATTCAAATTTAAAGAAGATAATTATCTTAATATTTTATGTAAGATGTACTTCCTCCGTTCTTTTTTAGTTGCAATGGTCAACATTTCACTCTTGCCAACGCACATTTTGACCGTAATTATATCTTAATCCCTATTAGTAAAAAAATATTTAAAAATTAGATTTTGAAAATTTGTAATGAGATAAATTGAACAATATAATTTTTAAAAAATAATTTTCATAAAATAATAATATAAAATGTAGTCAAAGTAGAATATGTGAATAGTGTAAAATTCAACATGTTGCGAATAAAAAATGACGGAGGATAGTATATATATATATATATATATAGATTTTGGTTCAGGTGAGAAATGCATCTAATGTGAGAAATGAGAATGAATCTCAGCCATTGGATTTACGAAGTTGCACTAAAATTGGCTTTATGTTGCAGTAATAATTAAATTTTGCACATGTTGCACTAAAACTTTTTCATGTTGCACTAATATTTGACGGCGTTGCACCGAAATAGCTTCATGTTGCACTAGACACGTGTAATACGGATTTTTCAGAAGTATTTACAGAAATGCCACCGTTCTAGATTGCATATTTCAGTGCATCATGAAATGTCTTTTACTGCAACTTTAGTCGAATCCAATGGCTGATATTCATTCTCATTTCTCACCCAAAGGGTTCTTCTCACTTGAACCTTACCCTATATATATATATATATATATATATATATATATATATATATATATATATATATATATATAAATAATATAGGTTTCTTAAAAATATTACGAAATAAATTTTATAAATAAACGTTGGGCCTGCCGCGGGTCTGCGGTCATCAATCTGCCAGACTGCCGGTGCAATCGGACCGCGTGGCGCTTTGCCTGTTCTATAAAAGGGGGAAGGGCGTGCTACACTATCAGCGATTGCTTTTAGTGTAGCGGTAAGCGCAACGATCCACAATTGGTATCAGAGCCAAAGGTCACGGGTTCGACCCCCGGCAACAGCATGCTGCTCAGTTGTAGGCTGGCAGGTGCTGGGGGGGGGGGGGAGATTGTTGGGCCTGCCGCGGGTCTGCGGTCAGCAATCTGCCAGCCTGCCGGTGCAATCGGACCGCGTGGCGCTTTGCCTATTCTATAAAAGGGGGAAGGGCGTGCTACACTATCAGCGATTGCTTTTAGTGTAGCGGTAAGCGCAACGATCCACAATAAAAAAGTTACTAGAGTTGCTATAAATATATTCTCATGGTCATCATTACGCTAATCAAATTCAACATATTTGTAGTCACTAAAAGTTACTAAATCTTTTTTTATCCACCGTGATTATAATCATATATTAGGAAATATTTTATTTATAATTAGTTTTATATTAAAACTAATTGTTTCGGGTTTTTTTCGGTCCGGGCCGAGTTATAGATTTTAAGGCCCGTTAATGAGCCCATAATTTTCGGTTCGGTCCGGGTTTTTTTTAATTCGGGCCGGTTAAAAAGAAAAAACCCGGACCGGGATCATAATTCGGGTCGGTTCAGGGTCGGTTTCCGGGTTTCACTTCGGTTTTTCCCACCCCTAATGGAGGGTAACTATTTTAAACATGGAGATTTACAATTCTAGTCCTGTAACTTTTGGTTGTTTTTATTATCATTTCGTAACTTTAGTCACTTGCAAGTTTGGTCCTGTTACTGATAAGTTTTTGCGATTTAAGGACTTTCTCTTTGAAAAGTACACTTTCCGACAGAAAATCCGATGTCGGCGTCATCTTTCTAGTATATTTTTGCCGAAAAGTGTACTTTTCCAAAATGTCCTTAAATCGCAAAGATTTATTAGTTACGGGACTAAACTTACAAGGAAATAACATTGCGGGACTAATAATAAAAACATTGTAAAATTTTGGAACTAAAATTGCAAATCTCTCTCTTAAACATAAAAGAGTACTAAAGAAAATAGCTAGGCCACTAACTAAATTGAAGATTGATCATTTGATTAATAATCGAAAATTCGAGTAAACTGCATTTTTGCTTTTCTGATCTTGACCATAGAGAAACTCTTTGTATACCAACTGTGTGATTAACTATTGGCCTGTTATTAGTCACATAGTTTTACTTAGAGTTGTATATATATAACAGATCATGTTAAATAACTAGGAGTAATAAATTTAGGCTTTCCTACTAAGAACTTGTCTGCTACTCCTTTTATCTCAAGTAAAGGAACTTAATCATGTGCCTCTTTTGGACGTCAAACTTAAAAGTTCTTATTTCCAGAAAATACTTAGCTCCTTAATATGACAACTTAACAAAAAAAATCATCACATATTAAAGTTAGCATACTCGTTACATCACAAGTATATGCCATCAATCACCCATTATATTATACTACCTCCGTCCCATTTATATTGTCTCTTTACGGTTTACGATGTTTGAGCGATGATAAAGCAAACAGATCCATGTCCACACTTAAATTTTTTTTAAGAAAAAATTACATATTCATAAACTACATTTAAATCTTTACAAAGTCGCAAAAACCTGAATCAAATTTGATAAATTTTTGATATATAAAGTAAGAAATTAAGAGTGATTTGTGTTGACCAAGTAAATAGGAACTGAGACAATATAAATGGGACGGAGGGAGTATAGTATATACCTACCCGAATTGAACTAATTCTCACACTATATTAAAATTAGTTTATTCTTTAATTATTGTCTAAAATTAGTTCATTATATAATTAAATGACACGTCAGAATGACAATCTTAGATGAGAACTTCAAGTGATCGAGAGGGAGCCATAATAACGTGGTGTAAGGCTAACCGCAATTCATGGGGTGGAAACCACAACGTGGTGTAAGGCTAACCGCAATTCATGGGGTGGAAACCACAAATTTGAACTATTCACTCCTAAATAAGGCTAACCGCAATTCATGGGGTGGAAACCACAAATTTGGGGTATTCACCCCTAAATATGCTGCAACCCTATCTCAAAATGTATTGAAAGGTGCTTAAGTGCATTGAGAGCCCCTTTAAAGTGGGGATTTAGTGCCTTGATCCACCTTGGAGAGAGAAGAATGATTTGCCCTCCTCCACTCTATGCATGCAAAAAATGAGCATGGGCCACAAGTTAAAAACCCCAAAATTCTTAGATGTTTTATACTCGGCAATTTTTTTTGTATTTCAATTTTTATAAAATACATATCAAAATTTATAGTTTTTTATAATCTTTCATGTGACACCAATATTGAATACGTAAAAATATTCCGTATTAAAAATATATGATATTTTATAGGGAAAAGTACGAAAAAGGTACTGGTGGTTGAGCCTGTTTTCAGATAGGGTCATGTGTTTCATTCTTTATCAAAGTGGTTCATGTGTTTGAATTCCGTTATCACAATAGGGTCACACCATTAAAAACGTCTGAAAAAGACCGTTAAAAGTAACCCCGATTTTGAAAAGTGCCCGGAAAATTAAAAGAAAAATATCGAAAGGTGCGCCTCATCAAGATGACCCCCAAACCACTTTCGCCTTTGAATTTTTCAGATCTGTTTGACTTATTTTTTAAAAATAATTTCGCTAATATCACTTTTCCGGTGTACTTTCCAGTGACAAGGGTGGGTGAAAACAAAAAAGGAAGATGGCTTAGCGGTAGTCATATTGAGGCGCACCTTCCGGTATTTATCTTTTAATTTTTTGGGCACTTTTGAAAATCAGAGTTACTTTTAACGGTCTTTTTCAGACGTTTTTAACAGCGTGACCCTCTTGTGATAACAGAATTTAAACACATGAACGACTTTGATAAAGAGTGAAACACATGACCCTATCTGAAAACGGGTCCAACCACAAGTACCCTTTCCATACTTTTCCCTATTTTATATGCTGGAGATTTTTGGTCCAATTTTTTGTTAGGTAGATCAAAATGTTAAAATTAAAATATAATAATTAATATATACATCTTTCTATTAATTTTTTCAAAAATATGTCTGAAGTAACAATAAAGAAATTACACTCCAAATTTATTTATTTTTACATCAGAATGTTTGGCTTTTTAAATTATAATATTCATAAAAAAATTTGGCAGAAATAAATGTATAATAAGAAAAATTAAGGATAAAACTTTGTTGACATATTCACGGTGTTGGATTGCAGAAAAAAATGAAATTGATTAAATGAATACGTATAAACTAATCATCACAAGTTTGATTTATTGATGGAGAGGGTTGCATACTTCCAATAAGCCTAATAGGATAAGGTTAGAAAAAACGTACATCATTAGATAGAACAACCAAACGGCAGGCTTCACTTTTTTTGTACCCGGAGGATCATCTGGTGAAGGAAATCTGTAGTGACAACCTCCATTTATCAAAAGGAAGGCCTGAGAAATCACAATGAAGATAATCGCTAGGGAGAGAGCAACGACCACCGCCAGGCCCGCATTACAATCATACTTTTCAGCACCGCCGCCAAAATTTCCCGGGGTAATACAATCATCAGGCATCCTATATCCGTTCACCTATTCGTTTGAACGAAAAAAAATCACATCACATTAATCCTTATTCTTTTCGGAAGAAAACAGATTGAAATATCAGTAGGTTTTTTCTAAAAATATTACTAATATAAAACTTATTTACACAAATTTGATTAATAGTTATTACAATGTAATACCATGGTAACATACGTTTAAAAATTAAATATACGTTTAAAAATGATTAATAGTTATTACAATGTAATACCATGGTAACATACGTTTAAAAATTAAATATAAATTGCTATTGTAGTAATTAATCATATTTTTGTACACAATCATTATTTTAGTCATAAATGTGTAATTATTTCGTATCAATAAAATCAAAGCTACAAAGTAACAAAATCACATAGAAAACATAAGAACAAGATATTTTTCCGATGGGATACTCGGTACACATCATGAAACGGTAACTCTAACTCTGAGAGCCCGTGTTAATCCCCATTCTTAACTCATGAGTCTTACCGGTAATCTTTGTTTTTTACTAAATACATGACTTTTAATTCGCGCGTTGATTGTGTAATAATTAGATGAGTATTAAGATTGTAATTACTCTTGTTGTTGAATTCGTTAAAGTTAGAATATTTTCGTTATTTTTCATATAATTTTTTTTATTACAATATAATTTAAATGAACCAAAATTATGTTCTTATTTGAACCAAAAACACACATATATACTCCTACTCCGTATATACACACACAAACCCAAAGTAGTTTAAGAACTTTTTTTTTACTACTACCATTAATAAAATAAAGTAAAGAAAAATGAAGGATATATTGGGTTGATAAATTTTGGTATCTCTCTTTTCACCATTTTGCTCCTCTTCCTTACTCATCCATTCAACTGTAATGCTGCATCCTTCTTCTATTTTCATTTTTGAGTGTTTATCTCTAAATAATGTATGTCTTGAATCCTACGGAGTTTAATCCAACTACGAGAGCTACATCTATGAGAATAACTGAAATTTAGGCAGCGTAAGGCAATATTATTAATCCGGAAATTTGGCCACTTCATGGGACATATACATGAAGTATTTATAGACTTCAGGAGCTAGTGTTCTGAGAGGAATCTGATATATTAAATGCTCATTCATCAAAATGGACTCGTGTAACGCCTTGGATGTTGTGCAATGATCATCTCCTTTAAGTCCACGTTTCTTCCATTTATTCCTGCCTGCTGCCAGATAGCTATACGCGAACGATAGCCTGCCACGTAAGCTCTAAGGAAAATCCGACTTCACTTGAACTCCGCCCAGACTCGAGGTTTGCTGTCCAACCTGATCTGATTGTGGGTTCCTTTTGTGGGTCTCATTCCTATTAGACTCATTGACTAATTAATATGAATCCCGTTAAGGGCTTATCCTGTTCAAGGATGATCTCGTTTATGATCTTCATCCTTTTAAGGGCTTTGATTACAGTTTCACACTTGGGCCATAACTGTATTTCATGGTACCATCAATATTCTTATACATTCACTATTCTAGTAATCTCTAAATTGTTGCAAAAAGTTGGAAGCTAATCTAATACTCCATCCGTTCCAATATAAAAGAATCATTTTCCTTTTTGGGCCATCCCAATATAAAAGGCACATTTCTTTTTTTGACAAACAAAACAGTGCAAAACAATGTACAAACAGTGTCAAACAATGTTCCTCCTAAAAATGTTTAGAAAAACAAATGTGCTCTTTATATTGGGAGTAGATATAAAAGAATATATAAAGCGTACACAGTACACTATATATAATATAAGTCAGACAATTTTTTTTTAATATAAAAGTTAGACAAAACGTATGCGAGCCATTGCCCATACCCAATTGGCCAATAGTTAAAGGCCTGGAGTCGGTCTCTATTAATACAAAAATAGTTTATGTGGACACTATTTTGATTTACACACTTTTATGTGTATGAAATATTTCTAATCTAATTTGATCTGATCTGGTTTGATCTTTTTAAGTCTGATCTGATCTGGTAGATGTCTGCTTTTTGTGTATTTTATAGTTGTCAAGAAATGATTTATCTAGTCATTTAAGTTTGATCTGATCTTTTTAAGTTTGATGTGATATGACCTAAGACCCAAATAAGTCAAAGTATAAAAACATTCCCAACTAAGAAGCTAAAATAACAACAAGATATATATGAGAAAGTTCCCAAAATAGGACTAAAACAGTTTGGAAATTCCAAAATGGGACTGTCATGTTTTTTATTTCTTAAATAGGAGTAATTACTGTCAAGTTTGCAGAATACTGCCATGTTTCAAGTCTGGTACTGTCAAAACATGACAGTAATTAGTCCTATTTTAGGAATAAAAACATGGAAGTCCTATTTTGGAATTTTCAAACTTTTTAGTCCTATTTTGGGTAATATCTCGATATATATAAGGAATAAGGATGATAAGTTACTGTTCTACTGAGACGTCTAAAAACACAAGTGAGAAGCCTAATTAACGGGAACGGAGAGTGTTTAAACTAGAGGTGGACATATCAGTTTTTGGTTCGATTTTTATCCGTTTCGATTCGGTTTAGAACGGATTGGAGGAATTAGTACCAAACTAAAAACATACTACCTCCTTCCCATAAAATAGTCCTCACTCCGATTTGGATTGGAGTTTAAGAAAGTGAGAATAAAGTGGAAATGTATAATTGTAATTGAGAAATCTGATGACAGAGGCAAACAAGCAGATCAGTAACAGCGATCCAGGTGAAAATTCTGACGATCCAAATTTACAAGTCTATGGACTTTTTGAAAGTCTAAATTTATCTATGGATTTAAAAGCAATTCATTCATAAAAAGTATTGATTTAAAAGTCGACTTTTCTTAAAGTCCATTGACTTTTTAAAAAATAAAAAAATCCAACTAAAATTCATATACAATACACCTCTCAATGTAATAAACTGAGAAAAAAGTGTATGCAATGATGAATGATGTGAAATTGTGAACTTGCCTTTTTGTATTTAACATATCCTGCAATAAACCCCAGAATTCCGGAAACAAATTCTACGAGGATGAGAACAGCAAAGCACCTCGGCCTACAATCATTAGTTAATTTGATTTAATTTATCATTCTTATGAAAATAAAAAAAATAACAAAATATTAATAATAGGGATATTGTACCAAATACCAGAGGCTTTGACAGTGCGGTGTATTTGAGTGAATCGATACAATTTATTTTTATTTTTATTTTTTTTTAGAAAAATTCACACATTTTTTACCCACAAAACTAATAAAAATTGAAATTGAAGTAGCCACTAGGCATGTAAAAAAAATCCGGCCCGCAATGACCCGCCCCTGGCCCGAGACATTTGGGGTGGGTCCGGCCTGCCCCGTCTTGAAAATGGGGTGAGTCCACCCCGCCCCGTCTTGCAAATGGGACGTGTCGCCCCGCCCCGCCCCGCACATACAATGGGGCAAGTCTGGATATCAGTATTGATCCGCCCCGCGCCGCTCAATATATAATATACATACTTTTTTTAAACTATACTACAAATATACTAAACACACATATGTGTGTATATAATAAATTATAAATTCTTTTATCTTATAATATATTACTATTTAAATTTGAATGGGATGCACGATGAATTATCAATGTCTTTTATATATAGAGAATTTTAATTAATATTAAAATAGATTAAATATTCCAGTCTAAGTACTTATTTTTTTAATTTTGAAATTTTAGCATATTGTAACTTTGATATAATATATTTTTTTATAATTATTTAGATAAGTTTGATATAGATTCAAGTGGTAACAACTTCACACAAATAAAAATGCATACTAGTTGATTAGGTTACTGCAGACAGAGCGGAGCTGACCCTCCTTGCATGGGGCGGGTCATGAGTCAACAAGTTTGGACCCGTGCGGCCGTGCAGGTCATGATGCAGGACGGGTCCACCCAATGAAGTCACGTACCACGGGGCAAGGCCGGGTGTTCCACCCCACCCCAACCCAACCCATTGTCTTGCACTCATGCCTAATAGCCCCACTTAGGTCCTTACGAGTTACGAGAAAGAATTCAATGGAAGCTAAATTGCAAAGTTAGGAATTCGATCTAATTATCGTTGCGACTTGCGAAGTTCTGAAAATTCCGTCACAGGAAAAATTATGTAGTCGCCTCAGCCACCATAATAAATTCGGAGTATGACAATTTCAAAAGCAAATAATGAGAATTTCAAATAAGAAGATGACATACTTAGATTTTTATAATAAATACGGAGTATGACAATTTTAAAAGCAAATAATGAGAATTTTAAATAAGAAAAATAAGAAACTGTTTTTCAAATATAAAATCAAGTCATTTTTAGAGCAAATTATGGCATTTTTAAAAATGACTAGTACTACGTAGTAGTAATATCATAAAATGACAGTACTTGAAATTAATATCCAATTCGATCAAACTTATTCAATTTAATTAATGACGCACGAAAAATAACCAAATAGAGAAAAAAGGGAAGAAAGAAAATTAATGAAGGGATTAGAAAAGAACTACTGAAGAAGAGTAGGAGTGGAAGAAAAAACAACACACCTCGGCAACTCCGATGGTGACAGCGACATGAGATGGCGGCAACGCAAGAGACAACTTAACCCCAATAGTTCGAAGATGCGAAAGAGTATATAATTAATGAGGTGATAGAGGCAATTGGAACCCCTATTTAAAGAATTAAAAATGATCCCTCCGTCCCAATTTGTTTTGCAAAGTCAACATTTTTTGGTCAACCAATAACAAAAGTCAATCCTCCTTATGGATAATTAATTCAATTTTTAATAATTAAAATTTATATATTCAAAAACTACATTAAAATCTCTTCAAAGTTGTAAACTCCAAATTAGAAAATAATTAGAAATTGACATCCTAATTAAGAGAACAAAACGAGACTATTTGACTAAGAAAAGTCAAATTAGTAAGCATGACTTCTAACTTTGCTTTTTAATGATTTTATTCTTAATTAAGACAACTTCCAAAATATATACTCCGTATGTATTTGTTTCTTTTTCTTTTTGATTTGCTAGCTCCGGTAAGAACAACGAAATGAGAATTAAAATATTGTACGTAGCACTCCCTCCATCCCAATTTGATGATCCCGTATTTTCTTTCTGGGCCGTCCCAAATTGATAGTCTCATTTCCCTTTTTGGAAAGAAATATGTGGTCCACATCATTTCACCTTGTTGAGTTTAATCCAACACGATATAGTAAATATATGTATGAACACTCAGTTTTTACGTGGAAACCCGAAAGGAAGAAAACCACGGGACTTTTTAGACTAATGTCCAAGCCCTCTCATTCTCATTAGAACTCTCCTCACCATTACATAGTACAATTTGAGCTCCCATTAATGGAGTCTTCAAGCTATTCTAGAGAGAGTAAATGAGTTGGGGAAGAAGGAAAAAGATCTATAATATGGAGGCTAAGCTCCCTATTTATAAACAAAGGGGAAAGGGTGCTCTCCACCCTAATGGGCCAAACGGGCCAATATCGGGCCTAATGGGCCGAAATGGGCCTATCTGCTCGGGCTCCGTACTGGATAATGTCTTGGGCTCCTGAACAGTAATAGGCCGGGATAATATATCCCAACACAAGTCCCCCAGTTTCTTGAGTAGTGAGCTCGCGAATCTGCTCGAGAAAATATACTCTGCCTGCGCTCTTCCTCTGTCTTGCTGGAAACTGTGTCTTCACATAATCATAATATATGAGTGAGTGTCTGCACTCCTGAACGTAATCTGCCGGTGAGGCACCCCCCCTTCCCGACGGGGTTGGGCGAAGGGTGCTCCTCCACGGGCACGCTCCCCCTGAATGCATCAGGCGAGAGTAGAGGACCCTGACTCGAGCTTTCCAATCGGAGAAGCTTAGAGGTCCATGCATCTACAAACCGACGTCGCGGTACTGTCAAAACATGATGCACGTGTGTATGTATGAATGTATGAGGTATGATGCATGAGTGCATGTAATGTATGAGAGAAGGAATGTGAGATGTGATAGAAAGCGGTGGCTCTCATCGATAAACCGGGCATGTCAGCGCCAAGGGGCAGACGTGCTGCATAAGAGACGTTCGTCGCCATCCTGAAAGGGATGGGCGACCCCAACGTGAGCCAGACACGATGGCGCTGGGGCGCTGATCGTGCTGCATAAGAGACGTTCGTCGCCATCCTGGAAGGGATGGGCGACCCTAACGTGAGCCAGACACGATGGCGCTGGGGCGCTGATCGTGCTGCATAAGAGACGTTCGTCGCCATCCTGGAAGGGATGGGCGACCCTAACGTGAACCAGACACGATGGCGCTGGGGCGCTGATCGTGCTGCATAAGAGACGTTCGTCGCCATCCTGAAAGGGATGGGCGACCCTAACGTGAGCCAGACACGATGGCGCTGGGGCGCTGATCGCGCTGCATATGAGACGTTCGTCGCCATCCTGAAGGGAATGGGCGAGCCAAACCGTGAAGCCAAGTACGATGGCGCTGAGGGGCCGATCGCACTGCATAAGACGGTCGTCGCCATCCTGGAGGGAATGGGGCGATCCGAACGTGAAAGAGACACGATGGCGCTGAGAAGCCGATCGTGCCGCATAAGACGGTCGTCGCCATCCTGGAGGGAATGGGCGGGCCGAACCGTGAAGCCAAGTACGATGGCGCTGAGGGACCGATCGCACTGCATAAGACGTTCGTCGCCATCCTGGAGGGAATGGGGCGATCCGAACGTGAAAGAGACACGATGGCGCTGAGAAGCCGATCGTGCTGCATAAGACGGTCGTCGCCATCCTAGAGGGAATGGGCGAGCCGAACCGTGAAGCCAAGTACGATGGCGCTGGGGCGCTGATCGTGCTGCATAAGAGACGTTCGTCGCCATCCTGGAAGGGATGGGCGACCCTAACGTGAACCAGACACGATGGCGCTGGGGCGCTGATCGTGCTGCATAAGAGACGTTCGTCGCCATCCTGAAAGGGATGGGCAACCCTAACGTGAGCCAGACACGATGGCGCTGGGGCGCTGATTGCGCTGCATATGAGACGTTCGTCGCCATCCTGAAGGGAATGGGCGAGCCAAACCGTGAAGCCAAGTACGATGGCGCTGAGGGGCCGATCGCACTGCATAAGACGGTTGTCGCCATCCTGGAGGGAATGGGGCGATCCGAACGTGAAAGAGACACGATGGCGCTGAGAAGCCGATCGTGCCGCATAAGACGATCGTCGCCATCCTAGAGGGAATGGGCGGGCCGAACCGTGAAGCCAGACACGATGGCGCTGAGGGGCCGATCGTACTGCATAAGACGGTCGTCGCCATCCTGGAAGGGATTGGGCGAGCCGAACCGTACGTGACTCTGGACACGATGGCGCTGGGGGGCCAATCGCACTGCATAAGACGTTCGTCGCCATCCTGGAGGGAATGGGGCTGAACGTGAGCTGGGTACGATGGTGCTGAGGGGCCGATCGTACTGCATAAGACGCTCAGCGCCATCCTGGAGGGAATGGGGCGATCCGAACGTGAAAGAGACACGATGGCGCTGAGAAGCCGATCGTGCTGCATAAGACGGTCGTCGCCATCCTGGAGGGAATGGGCGAGCCGAACCGTGAAATCTAGGCGCGGTCCGTCTTGGTTGGCTATGAGAAGCCGATCGTCTGTCAGGACTTCATCCTGGGAGGAAGGGTGGACCTGGGCGTCGTCCCTCTGTCTGATCTGGGGAGCTGGTATTCATTGTCCAAGGCAAAAGAAAGCCTGATGTTAGCCGATCGTCGTCGGCCACTTCATTCTTCGTACTTAAGTTTTGTAATTATTCTTTTACATATGTTTTTTAGTTTGTACTTCCCGGTCAATAGCGCCGAGGGATAAAATCATTCTTTGCTCCGTGCTCTTCTGGCATCTTTTTTTTTTTTTGGAGTCTTTTAGTCTTCGTTCGTCCTTGGTTCTTGGTCCTACCGGCGTCCTTACTTCGAAGAGACGTCCGGTATCCTCGAAACTCGCAAGGAGGAACAGGTTTATCTACATCGAGATTCCCCTTTTTTTTGTTCGTCCGTGGTCCTTTTAGTCTTACCGGCGTCTCTTGCTTCGAAGAAGACGTTCGGTACCCAAGGAACTCGTAGGGACGAACTGGTTTACCCTCACGGGTTCCCGACTTTGTTATCCCACGTCCATCGATCCATGGTCATTGTGGGATAAACAGGTTTATCTTGGCAAGGCTCCCTTGGTTCGTCTAGCCCCCTCCGCGTCTCTACTAACCTCTACATCGAGAGGCGTTCGTCTTCGGCGGTGGGAGAAGATCTGGCACGCCCGGGCAAGATTCCCTTCCACATAGGAGCTACCCTCCTCTTCTCCCCATCTTTTTTTTTTTTGTGTTTGAGGGAGGCAATCTATATTCTTCGTTCGTCCTTGGTTCTTGGTCCTACCGGCGCTCTTGCTTCGAAGAGACGTTCGGTATTCGCAAAACTCGCAAGGAGAAACAGGTTTATCTACATCGAGATTCCCTAGCTCTTCTTTGTCCGTCCCTGGTCCGTGGTCCTACCGATCTTCCTACATCGAAGAAGACATTCGGTATCCAAGAAACTCGCAGGGATCACGGGATGTCACACATAATGGTGGTGGCATAGCGAACGAATATAATGACGAGGCGATGGAGATGCTGGTCGTCATGCGAAGCCGATGGTCACCCTCCTGAAGGGAGGGGTGAGCCCGATCACTAACTCAAGAAGGTCGGCATTGGGAGCCGATATACAATGATCATAATGTCGCTGAGCAGTCGGTTCTGATAATGGAGACGACAATAGTGTCCAGGTCAGGCCGATATATCCGAGCAACGGCTCTCATCCAACGCAGCGCGGGGATGAAACCGGTCTTCAAAAGATAAATATGTCGTGCCGAGAGGCCGAACATAACATGATAGTGTCGGCAGTGAGAGGCCGACCTGAATGAATCAAACAACGGTCCTCGTCCGCGAGGTGGCGGGGACGAGGCCGGTCTTCAAAAGATAAGCACGCCGAGCCGAGAGGCCGGTCGTGGTATAATGGTGTCGGCAATGAGCGGCCGATCTGAGAAAATCAAGCAACGGTCCTCGTTCGCGAGGGCGGGGACGAGGCCGGTCTTCAAAAGATGAACACGCCGAGCCGAGGGGCCGGTCGTGGTATGATAATGTCGGCCATGAGATGCCGATCAAGATATGGTCAAGCAACGGCCCTTGTCCGCGAGGTGGCGGGGACGAGGCCGGTCTTCGAATATGATAATCACGCCGGTCCGAGAGGCCGGTCGTGATGTAATGATGCCAGCAATGAGAGGCCGACCAAGATCAAGCAACGGTCCTCATCCGCGCAGCGCGGGGGCGAGGCCGGTCTTCAAAAGATAAACACGCCGTGCCGAGAGGCCGGTCGTGATATAATGATGTCGGCAATGAGAAGCTGATATGAGACCCAGCAACGGTCCTCACCCGCGCAACGTGGGGACAAGGCCGGTCTTCAGAAGATAGGCACGCCGAGCCGAGAGGCCGGTCGTGGTATGATGATCTCGGCGATGAGAGGCCGAACATGATGTGGCAGTGTCGGCAATGAGGGGCCGACCTGCAATCCAGCAACGGCTCTCATCCGCGCAGTGCGGGGATGAGGCCGGTCTTCAAAAGATAAACACGC